CAACCCCAGGTGTATGTGTGTGTGTGTGTGTGTGTGTGTGTGTACACGTGTAAATACAGGTACCCTTGTTGGGGAAGTCCTTTGTCAATAAAGCACTGTTGAGCCAATAGGAATCTAGATAGGTGGGACTAGGAGTCCAGGAGGATTCTGGGAAAGAGAAACACGAGGAGATTCGAGATGTAACCGCCATGGGGTAGGAAGCCCGGAACTATTCTCCGGTAAGAGAAATACTTAGATTAACAATTATGGGGTAATTACTTAAGTCAGAGCTAGCCAGTAAGAAACAAGCAAGGCCAACAGCTTCATAATTAATATAGCCTCCTGTGTGTTTATTTGGGACTCATGCGGCTCTAGAACCAGGCTGGCAGGAAGGCTTCTCTCAAAGAAAAAGCTTCTCTTAACATATACCCTGGTAAGCCAGAAAAGGGCGTCAGATCCTAGAGCCTGATTACAGACTTTGGTAGCTGCTGGACTGGATTTTGGGAGCCAAAGTAGGGTTTTCTGGAGCCCAGCAATGTGTCTAACCCCCTGAGCCATCTCTCCAGCCTCACCCCACCCTTTTCTCTTGGCTTGCATTCCATGTGTAGCTAAGGAAAACCTTAAACTTTTTGCATGGCATCGTTGTTTGTTTTGAGACAGGATTTTGTTACGTAGTCTTGGTTGGCCTGCAACCGCCGTGTAGACCGGGCTGGCCTGAAGTCCACCTTCCTCTGCCTGCTGAGTGCTGGCATTAAAGGCGGGCGCCATGTCTGGTGGGGCTGACCTTGACTTCTGATCCTCTGGCATCTGCCTCTTAGGTATCAGTTGACAGGATCTTGTCACCACACTTTCTTTTTCTAAATTTACTTACATCTATCTACCATTCTGTGTATCTGTTATCTATTTATCACTCTATCTGTCTGTGTATCTATCTATGTATCTATCTAATACTGTATCTATCATTGTATCTATTTATCATTGTATCTATCATTGTATCTATTATCTAACATTGTATCTATTTATCTAACATTGTATCTGTCAATCAATCTACCTACCTATCATTCTATCAATCTATCATCCTGTTATTGTATCTATCTATCATTGTATCTATCTATCTATCATTATATCTATCTATCTTTGTATCTTTCCACCTCTCTATCTTCATCATCATCTATATGGTGTGTGTGTGTATGCGTCAATGTGTGTGATGTATGTGTAGAAGCAAGTATGCCGCTGTGTGTGTGGAGGTCTGACTACAACCTCTGGGGGTCGGTTCTCTCATTTCACCATGTAGGTTCCAGCGATCAAAGCTCCTCAGGTTTAGCAGCACGAGTCTCTCTACACAGAACCATCTCACCGCCCCGCCCTGCTGCTTCTTAGCAACACCAAGAACAACAGCATCATCTTGAAGTGTCCCCATCAGGCATTCCGGTCTTCATTATTTTCCTCCTGATGACTTCCAGCATTCTCTTCTTGTCTTCTTTCTCTCCCTTGTCCCAAGGACACGCAGTTGGGTGCCCATAAGTTAAATATATGTATGCCACAACGCTCTTGTATTATTAGATGAGGAAGAGCAGGTGCCAGCGCAACCTATATTTAGGAAGACTGCTTTGTGGGGGAAATGTATTTGCATGAGGAAAATTCTGGAAGGAAGCATAAAAATGCAAATGGAATTTGACTGGCTGATGTTCACTTGGCCCTCTGCTCGCTTCTCTGGCTCCTCTCATCATCCGCTCTTCTCACAATCGCCGCCATTGTCAGGGCGCATTTGGCTGCCAGGCATCGGAGCCCAATCAAGAGAGGCTTGTGGGGGAATTCAGGAACTTCCGAGGGCCATTTACTCCTCAGGAACAGGGACTTATTTGTGCTCCTCATTCCGTTTTGTTGAATACATCTTCGGGTTGGCACAACAAAAATATGAATCCAAGCTGCTCCTTAGAGTCCCGGGGAGGGAGAGGAGGTTACTGCCTTTGTGCCGTCTCTGCCTGTTTCTTCCATTTCCCAGTAGCTCAAGTTCCTTTCCTTCCCTTTCCCTCCCTCTCCTCTTCCTTCATTTCCATTTCTATCTCTGTTTGGTTGGGGGGGGGGACAGGTAAGACAGTGTCTTGCTGTGTAGCCGCTGCTGGCCTGGTATTCACCACGTGACCCGAGCTGATCCCGAACGTCTTATGATTGTGTGCACTCGTGTGGCAACCGGATCTTAGCCCTACAGTGTCCTTCTCCAGGAGCTGTCCACTGGAGCTGGGGAGAAAACCAGTTGGCAAGCCCCAGGCATCCATCTGTGCCCACCCTCCCGGTGTCCCTGTCCCTGATTCTGTGTACACATGCTAGGGATCCAACTCGTGTCACCAAGCTTGGGTGCTGAAGACTTTACTGACGACACTGTGTTCCCAGCCGACTTTATTACATGTTATTGAGACGGGGTCTCATGTAGCATAGGCTGGTGTTGAACCCCTGGTCTTTCCACATCTGCTTCATAAGGACTGAAATTAAAGGCGGGGGCCATACTCGTCTTGGCCCCGCCCTTTTGATCTGAGCTACACACTACAATGCCCAAGCCCGTCTCTACTCCTGTTCTTTCTCCCTCCAACTTTCCTTCCACGGTGACTGACGAGCTAGTACAAAGCTTGCACTGCAGAGGCAGACACTAAGCCAAGGAGAGCTTCCTTAAAATCAGTGTCTGATCCGTCGTTCGCCTGACCTGCACGTGTGATTTCGCTACACACTCGTGCACAAGCGTACACATGCGCGCGCACACACACACACACCACAAATAAATAGGTAAATAAAAAGGGGGGTGGAGAGATGGCTCAGCGGTTAAGAGCAGTGGCTGCTCTTCCAGAGGACCTGGGTTCAATTCCCAGCACCCACAGGACAGCTCACAACTGTCTGTAACTCCAGTTCCAGGGGCTCTGGCGTCTCTACACAGACATACATGCAGGAAATACACCACATAAAAAAATAAACAAATCTAAAACAAATAAATAACGGCTCAGAGATGGCTCAGAGGTTAAGAGCACTGACTGCTCTTCCAGAGGTCCTGAGTGGCTCACAACCATCTGTAATGAGATCTGGTGCCCTCTTCCGGCCTGCAAGGATACACGCAGGCAGAACACTATGCATAACAAATAATCAATCTTTAAAAAAATAAACAAGTCGCCGGGCGTTGGTGGCGCACACCTTTAATCCCAGCACTCGGGAGGCAGAGGCAGGCGGATCTCTGGGAGTTCGAGGCCAGCCTGGTCTACAGAGCGAGTTCCAGGACAGGCTCTAAAAAACAACACAGAGAAACCCTATCTTCAAAAACAAACAAATAAACAAACAAGAATGAAGACTGAATGAACCGCAGGCAGGAAGCAGTATTCCTCCATGGCACCTGCTTTTCTTCCTGTCCCCGAGCTCCTTCCCTGTCTTGCCTCAGTAATGAACTTGGAAGTTTGAAGCGGAATTGGAAGTTTGAAGCGGAAACAAACCCTTTCCTCCCCAAGCTGGTGCTTATCACAGCAAGAGAAGCCAATCAGAACATAATTCAGTGCCTTGAATGAGGGGGAAACAATGGCAGGGGAAATGCTTGCCGCTTTTCAGACGAACAGGCACTTCAAAGGAACATACCTTCCCACTCCGGCTTTGAATAGCATCCTCAGAAGACATGTTGGTGGCAGCCCTGCCATCGATAACGGTGGATGAAAGCTCAAGGTCTGCTTGGGCTATAGAGCAAGTTCAAAGCCAGCCTGGCAACTTAGTAACGGCCTGGCTTAAAATTAAAAATATTGCGTTTATTTATTTATTTGTTGTTGTTTGTTTCATTTTAAGACAGGGTTTCTCTGTGTAGCCCTGGCTGTCCTGGAACTTGCTTTGTAAACCAGGCTGGGCTCAAACTCGGATATCTGCCTGTCTCTATTTCTCAAGGGCTGAGATTAAAGGTGTGTGCCACCTCTGCCTGGTCCAAAAAAAAATTTAAAGAAAAATAAAGGCTGGAAATAAGGCTCATTGGTACAAAACCTGTTTAGCATGCATGAGGTCCTACATCCAACCCTTACTACTACATACGCAGGGCCAGACACACACACACACACACACACACACACAGTGTAGGTAAACAAAGTATTAAACACTGAAGGAGTTGGAGAGACAGAGTGTTCAGAGCACTAGTTGATCTTGCAGAGGACCAAGTTTGACATCAAGCACCCACATGGTGGCTCACAACTATCTATAGCTCTAGTTCCAGAGGACCTTACATCCTCTTCTGAACTCTGAGGGCACCAGGCAGGCATGTGGCACACAGATATTCATGCAGGCAAGACACTCATATATATGGGTTCAGGCATTACGCCCTGTTACCTGGCAGAATTCACTCAGGCAGCACTCTGGCCAGCCCAGAGTTCCCTGAGAACCAGTCTGCCCCCAGGTGCAAAGGACCCCTTTAAAGGACTGAGCCCTGCCCGCTTAGGCTTCTCATCATTCTCCTCATCTCTCTCTCTCTCCCATCTCATCCTCTCTTCGCTCTCATCTTCCTCTCCCTCTCTCTCATGTGTGTCTCCACCCTTTCAGTCTCGCTATAACAAATATGGTTAATATGCTCTCCATGGCTTGTGCTCCGTCCATTGTGCCGGCCCTTATTCCATAAATAACAACATATATATATATATATACATATACATATACACACATATATATGGTGCTATATATATAACCATATGTACTATATACTTTTATATTTTTTACATGTTTTACACTGTATATATTTTAATTACATGCATATCATATATATATAATAAAAAAAAAGAAACAAAGCAAAACCAAGAAGTAAAAAGCACATTAAGACGACCTTTTCCTGACTCTTCAGCTTCATGGGTCCCAAGGCAAGGGGCTTTCTGGGAACATCTTTACAAGTTCCTCCCTTGACACGTGTCAGTATGCGTTTGGCCAGATCTATACTCTTATCCACTACACGTGTTGGGGGGGGGAGGCCCCCAATTCCCCAGTGAACGAGCGAGAAGAAACCCTGCAGACTGCGCGGATCAGGAAAAAACCAGCTGTTTATTCCAAAACCAAAAACACCCCCACCCTACACCCCGCACCAGGTGCCCGCTCTTCTTGCTGTCCTCACCAGGAAGTTGAAGGCGGGTCCAGCACTGGAAGGAAGAGAGGGGGAGGGGAGGGTCCTCTGGTGCTCCCCTCTGCAAGCCCCCGGTCAGAAGGGGAGACGCTTTCCTTCGAGGCAGGGCGCGCCCTGCCCCGGGTGTTGGTGTGTACTGGGGAGCAGAGGGACAGCCGGGTCCCAGCTTTGGAAGCGTTGTGGTGGTAGTGGGGGTGTGTGTGTGTGAGCAGCGCCTGCTTGCCCACCCTCAAGACCTCGTCCCACTATGGCTTTATTGAGATAATAGGTCAAAGCTCCAGGGTCGGGCAGATGAATGGAGGGTGGAGGCTGGGGGAGGGAGGGGGAAGAGGGGGAAGGAGAGAGAGGGAGGGAGGGAGGGAGACAGAGAGAGAGAGAAAGAGAGAGAGGAAGAGAGGGAAGGAGAGAGAGGGAGGGAGAGAGAGGAAGAGAGAGGGAGAGGGGGGGAAGAGAGGGAGGGAGGGAGAGGGAAGGAGAGGGAGGGGGGAGGAGAAGGAGGGAGGGAGGAGAGAGAGAGAGAGAGAGAGAGAGAGAGAGAGAGAGAGAGAGAGAGAGAGAGAGAGAGAGAGAGAGAGAGAGAGAGAGAGAGAGAGAGGAGCTGAAAGCTCCCCATCCCCGCCGAAGCTGGGGGCGAGGAAAGCTGTGTGTTCCGTGGGGGTGTTAAGCGCGCTCGCTCGCTCGCTCACTGCTCGCTCGAGGGGAGGCCCTCGAAAGGATGGGGAGCCCACGGACCGTCTATTAGCCGGGAGACTGAAAACCTGGCGCTGGAGTTTGGGAGGACTGGTGGTAACCTCCTACTTTCCTCAATGGTGACACCCTGGCACCGTGGATCCCACCCAGGCTCTTGGCGAGAAGGGATGAACACAGAGGCCAATATTTGGCGGGGAGAGAGGGTGTGAGAGGGGGAGGGCGGCCCAGAGGAGGGAGGAGAGGCCCCCTCCTCGCCTTGGGGGCTGGGAGGGGGCCATGTAGCCCTTTAAGAGTGGGGGATGGCCGCCCGCCTGAAACATGGCTATATGTACAGAGACCTGTGTGGGGGAGGGGTCAAATTGTGCACTGGCTGTCAGGGACTCCCTGAAGCCCCTGGGTACTCCCTAGTATGTTAGGGAGAGGGGTGAAGGAGCACCCTTCTTGGCCTTGGCAGCGGCCATTGCTCTCGGCTACGCCCACCCAGGAACTGGCCAGTAAGTGGTTTATCAGCTGTGGCAACTTCCCGCAGGCCAAGAGTCTCTGAAGAGGGTTTGGCCCAAGCTAGCGAGTTCTGATCCCCATGGGGCGGGTCCAGGTAACAGGGATTAGGTGGGGGTGGGGTAGTGATGCCGTCCAAGCACTGGGGAGCCCCCTGCCTCTGCTACTGCTGTGGAGGGGTCACGGGTTGACCCTGTCACCGATCAGATGGCCGGGTGACTGGACAGTGGTGATACAAGGAAGAGTTTGGCTGCACTCACCAGTGGGCAAAGGCCGAGGAAGTCGGGGAAGCCGACCCAGGTGTCTGTCCGGATCAGGAGGGAGGCAGTGACGTCATCAGGGGTCGGAGTGTGTGTGCACACGTGCGTGCGTGCACGTGTGTCATTATCGGAGGGAGGCAGCTGGCTCCGCGCTAGTCCGTTGGAGGGAGTGGGAGATGGCCTGTTGTGCTGGTTCCCCTGAAGGGAGGAACTGTAAATGCCACGAGACCCCAGAGGACAACTGAAACACAGCCTCTCACCCCATTTGGACCCTAAGACGGTGGATCCCGACAGACGGCACACACGTGCCATGGGTCCCGGAAGATGAGGATGCAGAGATCCGGGTGACGATGACACATCGTTTTAACGTGGGTTCTGGGGGGGTGACGACACCATGGCTATGGTGGACCCCAAGGGTAATGACATCACTGGATCTCAGGGAAGCCTAGGTCATGGAGACACCGGGGTTAAAGCGGGGCCTGGGAGATGAAGACACCATTGGCTGCTATGGCTGATTGGAGGTGACGGCACCATGGTTACGGTAAATCCTGATGAATCGAGATGGGACAGGGCTGACATGCGGCCTGGCAGGTGATGACGCTACGACTCTCGTGGGCTCTTGTAGACTGTAATTGTGATACTATTAAATGGATCCAGGTGTGACGGAGAATGGTTGCATGAATCCAGGGACACCACCGTGGATTTCATGAGGTGGTGACATCATAGCTCTGGTGGCTACTGAGACATGAAGACATGGTTAAAGTGATCCCGGGAGATGACAACCCTGCCATTATAAGGAATTCTGAGAAACACTGGCACTGCCAGGGCCACCAAGTCCTCTTAGAGAGTGCCACCACAAGGCATAATGGGTATTGGAAGGTAAGGACATCATTGGTCACGGCACAGTTGGGGAGACAGGAACACCATGGTTGTAGTGGCTCCTGGGAGGTGAGGACAGCATGGTGGGGATTGATTCTGATGGATCCTGTAAGACGAAGAAGACTGTGTGTTTGTGGGGATGGATCCTGGGAGACGATGAGGTAAGCATGTTGCGATGGATTCTGGGAGGTGATGAGAACATGTTTGTGTAGATGCTGGCACATCATGATAGGTCATGGGAGATGATGATGACATGGTATGTGATGACACCATGGTTGTGAGGAATCTTGGGACGCAATGGTGACACAGTTAGTGGTGGTAATTCCTGGTAGGCAACGATATGCTAGTTGAGGTGAGTCTTCTGGAATCCTGGGAAATGACATGGTTAACACTGGACCCCAACTGCTATGCCATCATGAAAGGAGGACACTGGGTAGCATTGGTGATGTCATTGGCAACAATCAGCAACACATACACCCCAACCCTCCCCCTTTGTCAGGAGATGGGAGCTCTGTCAACAGAGTTGATGTCTTTAGATATGGCAGAAAGACGTGATGCCAGTCTTTGGCCCACCTATGAGTCCCAGGATTTTAGAAGCCTCATGGATCAAAGTGGCCTCCTTGGAGCTGAAGCTCATCCATGGGTGGTCATCCCCAAGGACTCACCACACAGGCCCAACCTTCCTTTAGAGGCAGGCAATGGTAGACATCATGTTGGCCATGTCCCTGGGGTCGTGGGAAGAAGCCATGGAGCTAAGTTATAGGGAAGCGAGACAAGGGCTCTGATGACATAATCACTACTGGCGGTCATCTGGAGTGGGGGGTGCCTCTGAGAAGGAAACCCTTTACGACGATGTCCAAACAATGGAGGGCATCATCACCAGCCTCCCGTAGAAAGATCTTGTCTTGGCATCCCCAGTGCTGACAACCTCATATTACACCTCATGTAAGGCTACTTCCCCTGGCATCTTCCGGAATGGTCTGGGGCTGGGATAATGCCCGACTTTCTCACAACAGGGCAGAGCAGTAGAGGTGTCTCCCGGTGTCGTTTCCAAGGGCATGGTAACTGGTGGTCACCCCCAGAAGGGTCTCATCCCGTAGAGGTCCCCGGAACAGGTGGCCATGTCTGGTAATGACATCGAGTGAAGAGGCACAGTCCCTGTGATGGCGCCGTCGGGTAAGGCACCCATTCTGGTGATGGCGTCACAGGAAGGAGGCAACATCCTGTGACAACGTTGTGGAAAGGAGGCCTAATCTTTAGTGAGGACACAGATGGCCGGGCATGGTCCCCTGCAATGTGTCCCAGGGAAATGGCTTCGTCTGTAGTCATGGCATTATGGGATGGAGGCGTCTTCTCCATAGCAGAGAAACGTTTTATTTTTCCTGTGATGACAATTTTAAGAGGCCCTGGCGATCAGGGTGACATCAAGGCGTGCGAGAACTGTCTCTCTGGTGACATCGCAGGAAGAAATCTTTGCTTCTAGGGATGACGGGATGGGACAAGGCATTGTCTGTGGTGACATCACAGGAAAGGAGTATCTGTGGCGATGTCATGCAAAATGGACACAGCCTCTAGTGATGACCTCACGGGCAGGCCTCTTCCTCTGTGGTGACCTCATCGGAAGGAGGTTTAGTCCCTGCGACGGCATCAGACAGCACAGACATATTTGCCAGCGATGACCTCATGTACAGGCCTCTTCCTCTGTGATGACATCATGGGAAGGAGGCCTTGGTTCAAACAGTGACAAAGTAGGAAGAGAGATCTCATCTACTGCGACATCCCAAAAGGAGGCATGGTCTCCGATCCAAGGGCCCCGTCGACCCTTGGTGTGTATGGTAAGCCTGTGATGGAGATCTGGGCCGGGAGGAGGGGGCCGCAGAAGCCACAGCCCCCAGCGCTCCATCCGGGCCTCAGACAGTCACTTCGTTCTTGCTGGCAGTGCGCAGGTGCTGTGGCAGGTGGTGGCCGGGAATGAACTGAAGTTGCTCCAGGGTGCCCTGGCGCTGGAAGGGTGGCCTGCGGGCCAGTGTGCCCCCGCCCCCACCTGCATCGGACATCCAGGCTGGCTGAGGGGAGCCGTGAAGGGCATGGTGATGGTGGGCATGCAGGCCCGACGGAGGCAGCCCGTGCAGCGGTGTGGGGGGGCCCCCGGGCCCCAGCAGCAGGTTGGAGTGTGAGGCAGCCAGGCTGGCCCGGGTGGTGGGATCCGGGGGCAGTGCTGGGCTTCGCGGGGGTGACAGCAGGTGCTCTCGACTCTGGCGAAGGGCCTCCGGCGAGGACAGCAGCAGGTGCTCCTGAGACACCAGACGGGCTCGAGGCAGTGTGAACTCATAGCGGGAAGCTCGGCCATCACCCAGCAGGTGCTCCTGGGACATAACCCGCCGGGGGTTGGGTGCCGGTGCCAGGCCCAGCTCCTCGGGACCACCCCAGCCATCCATGCGGTAGCCGCCTCCAGTGCCAGGCCGCCGGAGTGCATGCAAAGGCAGGGTCCCACGGGGCATCTCCAGATGTCTGCGCTTCAGGTAGGCTTCGTCCAGATCTTTCTCAGCTGGAGGAGAAAAGAGAGAAAGAAGATCCTTTGACAACCTGGAGTCTTCCAATCCGCGCTCCACCAGGGCAGCACCCAGGAGGTGTTTTTGTTGTTTGTTTGTTTGTTTTTCGAGACAGGGTTTCTCTGTGGCTTTGGAGGCTGTCCTGGAACTAGCTCTTGTAGACCAGGCTGGTCTCGAATTCACAGAGATCCGCCTGCCTCTGCCTCCCTAGTGCTGGGATTAAAGGCGTGCGCCACCAATGCCCGGTGGAAGACTGGAATCTTTTGAGCTCCCTACCACCCCGACTGCCGACTGAGGAACTGACCCCCCCCTCATGGCAAGCCATTGGCTGAGTTCCCCTTCATCAGGCTCACCCAATCTCTTGAGAGACGAGTAGCGATTCAGTTCTGATTTCACAGCAGCCTCATAGGATGGGGGAAGATGCGAGAGGTTGTGGAAGGATCGAGAGCAGGACAGTGTGGAATAGTGCAGGTTGGGGCTGGGTGGCGGCATGGCTCGCCAGTCTGTGTGGCAGGGGGAAGACCTGGTTAGTGCAGCCCTCCTCCCTCAGACCCAGGATCCCAGAGTCCAGCCCTTGTCCCTCAGATCCAGGATCCCAGAGCCCAGCCCTCCTCCCTCGGACCCAGAATCCCAGAGTCCAGCCCTCCTCCCTCGGGCCCAGGATCCCAGAGTCCAGCCCTCCTCCCTCGGGCCCAGGATCCCAGAGTCCAGCCCTCGTCCCTCAGACCCAGGTCCCTGAGTCCAGCCCTCCTCCCTCAGACCCAGGATCCCAGAGTCCAGACCCCTCCTTTAGACCCAGAGAACCATAGCCCAGCCCTCCTCTCTCAGACCCAGGGACCCATAGCCCAGCCCTCCTCCCTCAGACCCAGGGACCCATAGCCCAACCCTCCTCCCTCAGACCCAGAAGTTCAGATCCTAGCTCTCCTCCCTCAAGCCCAAAGGTCTAGATTCCATCCCACCCACTTCAGACAGAGGAATTCAGGTCTTACCCTCCTTCCTTAGTCCCTTAGACCCAGGAGTCCACCCCTCCACCCTGCCCTCTTCTTCATTCAGACTGGAGTCCTCATTCCAACCCTCTCCTCCCTTAGATCTGGGATTTCAGCTCCCAGCCTCCTCTCTCAAACGGGGGGGGGTGTCCATGTTCTAACCATCCTCCCTCGGACCCGAGATTTCGGTCTCCAGCCTTCCTCCTTCAGAGGTCTAGGGCTTGGGAGGCGAGAGATCTGGGGTTCTAACCAGCAAAAGCCCCAACCTTTAGGAGCTCCTCCTTTCCCACCACAGACAGGGTTGTGGTTGAGGATATCACATTCCAGATTGGGGACCGCTGGCATTTGTCAGCACCCACTGATTCCTGGCCCCAGCTGGGGATGCATTCCACGCATCTTCCCAAAACTTGACAGGAAGGAGATCACCACTTCCGGTGTCCTCTCGAGGACACTGCAGCTGCCTTGGTTGTGGCCAGCCCCACGTGAGCAGCGGCTCACAGGGGCTCTTACTGGGGCTCCACCCAGCACCAGGCTGGGGCTGCCCACAGTGAGGGCTTGAAGGACCCCGACTCCCAGGGCGCCTCGGCCCTCTGCGTACCCAGTGTGGCAGCACGGTGCTTGGGGCTGTTGACGTTGTAGTGCAGGTTATCTGAGGGACCGAGAAGGTAGGTGACGTCACTGTCATCGCCATCCCAGCTGGCACTCCTACCCGGAAGTGTGTCACTTCTGGCTCCCAGTTCAGTACAGCTCCCACCCCCGTCATTAGAGCCCCGCAGGTCGACCAGTACTCCCATCGAGGAAACAGAGGATGCGGGCTCAGGGTCATGGCTGGGGAGTGAGATGTCCCTCGTCCATATTCACCCCAATATCCAGGTCAGAACTCCATGCCACCCCTTTTCCTCTCTCCACTCAGGCCTGGTGCCCCCCCCCACTCCACATCGCTGCCTTGACAGGCACTTGCTGTCAGATAAGCCTGTTTACCATCTTCCCAGGCCACATTAAGGCGGGAAGACCCACAGCGGCTGTCGCCCTGGCACTCAGATGCCTTCCACGGTTCACCAAGTCCCAGAGGGGAAGTGGGCCGTGGGGTGGGGTCTGAGGCTTGCCACAGGGCTTTTGCACATTCTGTAATGCTGGCCTCAATGCCTTGAATCTCTTCCTCCCCCTCTTTGCCTGGAGAATGACACCTCCTTCAAGATCTAGCTTGAGGCTTCCCAGAGTGGCTCACGACTGCAGCCCCGGCACATAGGAGGCTGAAGCAGAAGAACCGTCATGAATTCAGGGCCAGCCCAGGCTACAGGAGTTCCAGGTAGCCTATGGCACAGCCTGATGCTGTGACTCGAGCATCTAATCCTAGCACTTGAAAGACTTGGAAGGAGGATCAGAAACTTCCTGCTAGGGGTTGGGGGGAGGGGGTGGCGCACACCCTTAATCCCAGCACTCGGGGAGGCAGAGGCAGGTGGATCTCTGTGAGTTCGAGGCCAGCTTGGTCTACAAGTGCGAGTTCCAGGACAGGTTCCAAAGCTACACAGAAAAACTCTAACAAAACAAAATAATAATAAAAAAAAGCCACCAAAAAAACCCCAAAACAAGTTCAGCTATATAGGGAGTTTGAAGCCCCGCCTAGTACATGAGACTTTATCTGAAAACGAAAACAAAAATGTCAGCCGGGCGTTGGTGGCGCACGCCTTTAATCCCAGCACTCGGGAGGTAGAGGCAGGGGGATCTCCATGAGTTCGAGGCCAGCCTGGTCTACACAGCGAGTTCCAGGATAGCCTCCAAATAATACAGAGAAACCCTGTCTCAAAAAACAGAACAAAACAAACAAAGAAAACAAAAAGCAAAAATATCCCCTTGTTATTACTATTGAAAATCATCTCCTCCCACCAGGACAGTGGTGGTGCTCGCCTTTGATCCCAGTTCTTGGGAGGTAGAGGCAGGAAGATCTCTGAGTTAGAGGCCAGCCTGGTACAGAGAAAATTCCAGAACAGCCAGGGCTACAAGGAGAGACACTGCTGTCTCAAAAAAAAAAAAAAGTCATCTCCTCCCTTCACCCCTGACCCAGCTCAGACCCTCTTCTATTATTACACGGGCTATAACCCCAGCTTCCAGAATCTCTTCCCTTAACATGGGTTACAGTGTCCAGAACATAGTTCTTTATCTATCTATCTGGTATATATTTTAGGGTCATATGTATATGTATGTACACACAAATATATATATATATATATATATATATATATATATATATATATATATATATATATATTTATTTATTTATGGTCACTGAGTAACCCTGGCTGGCCTTGAACTCACAGAGATCCGCCTTCTTTTGCCACCCGAGTGCTGAGATCAAAAGCGTGCGTCACCAGGCCTGACTTCCTTTTTACATTTTTCCAGGTTGGAGACGGAAGCCAGAGCCCTATGTGTGCTAGGTAAACACCCTACCACTGAACCACATCCCCAGGTCCCTCCGTGTGGGATGCTGGGCGAGTGGCCTACCCACGGGTTCCATCGCCAGCTCCTATTGGTCCATTCTACCCCCGAGCTGCATCCTACCCCTTGGTTTGCTGAGACAGGATCTTGCTATTTAACCCCCGCCCCCCCCCCCCGCTGGTCCTCCAGCCTCTGCCTCCACTCAGAATCCTGAGGCAACAGCTTTGTGCTACAACCTCTAGCTGTGTAGCTTCCTGCTCGAAACACCTCAGTGGCTGCCCAGTGATTTCAGAGCCCTGTACCTCAGCTCAGCCTGGCACCGGACAAGTCTAGGACTCCAGGACGTTTGTGGTCTCGGGCCCATGCTCTGCTCCAGCCACCCCAGAGTTCCTGCAACCCCAGTTACTCCTCTCCCTGGGAAAAGCCCACACCGCCACCCTCTCACCGCCCTCCCCCATTTCCTGCCGCCAACAAGAGCGGGAGTTTTCTTGTCCATTGTGGCCTCTGGGAATTTTCTCAGGATGAGTGGGATGGGTTATGAAGGGAGAGACGAAAGGTCCAAGACTGATGGTGGAGACTGGAGTGGGACCGGAGAGTCACATGGGGGAGCGCAGAGCCAGAGATGAGGCTGCCTCCGTCGCTGGCACTCACCGAGGTTGGAGGACTTCATGGTGTTGTAAAGGTTCTTGGGCGTCCTGGGGGGCCCGCTCTCTGGGCCTCCTAGCCCTGGGGTCAGAGAACTGCTTCGAGCCCGGTCCGGGCGGGCTGCGGGTCCTGCTTGATGCCTCAGAATGTCCACCAGAGCTCTGAAAGTGGTAGATACGTGGATGGGTGGTCGGGAACTGGGGCGGGAGACAAGGAAGGCCCAGACCTCTCCCCCCACCCCTTATGCTCTTTTTGTTTGTTTTTGTTTTTCTGACATAGGGTTTCCTCCGTGTAACAGCCCTAGTTGTCCTGAAACTAGCTTTGTAGACCAGGCTGCACTCGAACTCACAGAGTTCCGCCTCCCTCAGCCTCCCCAGTCAGTGCTGGGATTAAAGGTGCACACCACCACCACCACCTCAGCTGCCCGGCTTCCTATGCTATTCTTTACGGAATCTGCAGTGCGGAGATGTTAGTATCCAGGCATCTGCACTGGCATGTCCTTGGGGTTCTGAAAGGACACACCCTCAGCTGCAGCCACTAAGAGCACCGCCTGTGCACATTAACTATGTTCCCTTTTAAAAGGGCCCCGCCCACCTCCATCCTTCTCCCTTTCTTTCTCTCCCTCTGTTCCCCCGGGCCTCTCTCCCTCACTCTCTCCCCCTCTTTCCTTTCTCCTCTCTCCTCCTGCTCCTGTCTCTGGAGGCTGGTCTCCCTTTATTCCTTTCCCCTTTTTATGATCCCTTTCCCTAATTAAAAAAAAAAATCCTCTGCTTGAACCCTGTCACATAGCATCTTTCATGCATCACTGTTTTATTTTTGTTTTTGTTTTTTTGTTGGAACAGGTATTCTCTGTAGCTTTGGAGGCTGTCCTGAAACTCGCTCTGTAGACCAGGCTGGTCTTGAACTCACAGAGATCCGCCTGCCTCTGCCTCCTGAGTGCTGGGATTAAAGGCTGCCGCATCGCTTTTCTTTTCTTTTTTTGGTTTTGTTTTTTTGTTTTGTTTTTTTTTTTTGTTTTGTTTTTTTCGAGACAGGGTTTCTCTGTATTGTTTTGGAGGCTTTCCTGGAACTAGCTCTTGTAGACCAGGCTGGCCTCGAACTCATAGAGATCCACCTGCCTCTGCCTCCCGAGTGCTGGGATTAAAGGCGTGCGCCACCAACGCCCGGCTGCATCGCTTTTTCATAAGTTACAGCAGAGATGTTCATCTTTGGCTAGGCACCTTCTTTTTTATGTGTTTATTTTAGTAGCCTGCATGCATGTCTGTGCACCATATGTAAGCTCAGTACCCATGGAGGCACTGGCTAGGCACCTTCTAATGTCAGCCTTCCTCGGCCATATTTCCTGCCTGACATATCCCTTCAAGAACTCCTTCTGTCGTCAGCCCACATTTTCCTGTGTGGCCTTGCCCCACCCACCGGGAACTTAGACCTATTGTTGTCTCTTGGGCGCCCTTCCTGGTTGCAATAAAAGATGCCCTACTCGCCAGGCGTTGGTGGCACACGCCTTTAATCCCAGCACTCCCAGAGGCAGAGGCAGGCGGATCTCTGAGTTCGAGGCTGGTCTGGTCTATACAGTGAGAGCCAGGACAGGCTCCAAACAATACAGAGAAACCATGTCCCCAAAAACCATTAAAAAAAAAAAAAAGGTGCCCTGCTAATTCACTTAGGCGGATCTCAAACTTTTGGAACTTTCTCTTCTCTGTAATTCTCCAAAGTAGACTTCCACCATACATTGTCCATCAGCCTGGAAGTCACTTTCTCCTGGTCTGCGGCTTCACCTTCCGTCCTTGTCCCAGTCCCCCCACACACACACAGATACACACACACACAGACACACACAGACACAGACACACACACAGACACACACACACAGACGCACACAGACAGACACAGACACACATACACACACACAGACACACACAGACACACACACACAGACAGACACACACACACACAGACACACACAGACATACACACAGACATACACACACACACAGACACACACACAGACACAGACACACACAGACACAGACACACATACACATACACACAGACAGACACAGACACACATACACATACACACACAGACACACACACACAGACATACACACACATAAACACACACAGACACATACAGACACACGTACACATACACACACAGAGACACAGACACAAAGACACACACAGACACACACACATACACACAGACACAGACACACACAGACACACACACAGACACATACACACACACACACACCCCAAGACACACCTCTGGAATGTTCCTTCTGCCCAGAATGATCTTCACACAGTAGCTGCCCGACTCTATCTCTAATTCCTTCTGGGTCCCGCTCAGACAGACTCTTGCTGATCTTCAGCAAACCCATCCCTCCCCCAAACCAACATTCCTTCCCCTAACACTTTTTTTGTTGTTGTTGTTGTTGTTTGTTTTGAGACAGGGTTTCTCTGTGTAGCCTTGGCTGCCTTGAAACTAACTCTGTAGACCAGGCTGGCATCGAACTCACAGAGATCCGCCTGCCTCTGCCTCCAGAGTGCTGAGATTAAAGGCGTGCGCCACCACTGCCCGGCTGCTGCCACAAATATTTAATGAGGACTTAGTCAGCTAGGACTCTGCATGAATCAGCTCAGTTAATCTCTAGAATCCGAATAAACGGAGGTCGGTTCTCAGTCCTGTTGTCTATTCGAGGAAACCGAGGCACAGAGGCCCCACGCCACATAGCTCACAAACAGAATTCTTGGGCTTGGGACACAGGCTTATCCAGAAGGGCAGTGCTTGTGTTCCCCGGGTCCTGCTCCACAGAAAGTTTTTAAAGAAATACTGAATGAATGGCCTCGCCCATCCCAATTCTTCTCTTCAGCTAGGCCCGACTCCACCCACCCTTGTAGCCACGCCCCAACAGGCCCCGCCTTCCACCGAGCAAGCCCCGCCCCCAGGCCGGTTCCTGGACCTCTCACTGTGTAAACCCTGCCCATTAACCGGTTGCTTCCCCGCCCAGCATCACGGCGCCGCCTCCATCAGATTGCTTGGCCTCTCAAAGCCCCAGCTCCAGGCTCCCTCCTGCCCCTCCAAGCCCCACCGCGCACCTACCTGGGCACGTTGATCTCCCGGTGCGCCCTGGGCGCACGCGACGCCTTGCTGAAGGCCACTTTGGCACCGACGCCCACCGCCAGGGCGAAGCTGATGACTCCGCACACCACGTAGGCGGTGCTGCCCCCGGGACCCTCGCCTCCACGTCCCCCAGCGCCCCCGGCCCGGCCCCCTTCCAGCCACCCTGCCTGGCCCGGCCCGGGACCCCCTCCCGCACCCCCAGCGCCCCCGGCGCCTCCGGCTAGAGGAGGAGGCGTGGTAGCCCAGCGTGGCGTGTCGTAGTTGGAGCAGGAGGCCTGAGCCAGGCGCATGTGGCGGTGCTCGCAGCAAAAGCGGTAGTGGCAGGTGCCGCAGCAGAAGCGGTAGGAGCCGGTGCTGCAGTTGAAGGTGGCGTCGTACTGGCCCATGACATCGTAGTAGCCGTGGCAGAGCTCGGCCGGAGGGGGCGCCCGTGCCGCTGCGCCCGCGCCACCCGCGGAGCTGGTCTTGGTGGCGTTGGCACCGGTGCCCGCCGCGCTCCCGCCGCCCGCCAGAGCCCCGGTTAGGCGCCGCAGGTGCGCGAGGAGCGCAGGCAGCGGGCCCGGGGCCACTGCGCTCGTGTCGTTGGATGGGCGCGCCCTGGCTGGGCCGGCGGCGGAGGCCAGCAACGCGACGGTCCCGAGCAGCAGCAGGGTCCGCATGGTGCGCACCGGGACGCCAGGCTGCGGATCCAGGAGCCGAGCTGCAGGGATGGGAGGGGAGGGCAAAGGGAGCAAGGCGGGGGGGATGGGGGGAAGGGCGACGGGGGATGCGCAGCGGGAGGAAAGAAAGGTCGGAGGGGACGGGGGGGGCGTGCAGAAGTTATCAAGAAGGGAGGACTTGACGGAGAAGGAAGGTGTGAAGGCAGAAGGCGGAGGTGGGAGTTGAGGAAGATGTGTGGGAGGGGGGGCGAGTCGCAGCCAGGGACCCGCGGAATCCAGGAAGGAGGCAAAGGAATAAGGGAGGGAAACAGGAGAGAGGGAAGGAAGGAGGGAGGGACAGGAAAGAGAAGGTGTGGGGCAGCAGGGTAGTAGAGGAGGCAGGAGAAGCGAGGAGGGAGGAGGGAGAGGGAGAGGGAGAGAGAGAGAGAGAGAGAGAGAGAGAGAGAGAGAGAGAGAGAGAGAGAGAGAGAGAGAGAGAGAGAGAGAGAGAGAGAGAATATGAAAATTAGTTGAGAGTTAAGCCCGAGCCAAGCCTTGCTCGCTCTCGACATGGGGGCAGGGACACTGATACAGCACTCTGGAGGCGGGAGGCAGGAGGATTGAAGTTTGAGACCAATCTGAGCTATATAATTGAGTTCCGGGCCGGCCAAAGATACATAGGGAGACAAACTAACTAACTAACCCACAAAGGAAAGGTATCTTGGTGATGGGGACACAGCATAGTTAGGAACTACTGATTCATGGCTATTTGCTTCTCAATTTTGCAGACATGCCCTACCTCTTCACACACACACATGCAGGCACACATGCACGCACGCACACATGCACGCACATATGCACGTGCATGCACATGATTTCGTATACAAAAGTATCACTGCTGTTCACAGTTTTGGAAGAAACATATTTGACGTGGGGGTGATGAGAAGGGAAATGGGATTGGGGAGGTGGGTCAGAAAGGCAGGTCTAGTTATCTCCATGGCGACGGTCCAGTCAGGTCAGGAACAGGCCAGGGTGGGCAGGAGAAGATACGGGGGTGTAGAGACAGTCTGGCAGGGAGCCGGGAGAGTGGAGCCCCCCCCCAAGCGGGATAAGCCTCTCAGAGCGGGGGCTGCAGGCAGCAGGTTCTGGGTGGTTCTCCTCAGAGTCTCCCCCTCTTCTCGAACGGCATCTCGACAAACTTCAGGGAGACCAGCTGTCCAGGCGCTTCCTTCCTAGGCTCAGAGCAAAGGCTGTGCCCAGTGCATGGGACCGGGTCTCCGTCTGCAGACAATCCTTGGATCCATGCCTGAAGGTCCTGACCACCCTCCCGGAGCTGTCAGGAGCATCAAGAATGCAGCCTTGAATTAAGAAAGCAAGCCTACAGATTCCTGTGGGTCTAAGGTTTCAACCCTCTAGAGAGAAGAGGGAGATGCGAGACAGAATTGTCACATGCGCTTCAGACTGCTGAGGAGAGACACTGGGAAGTGACAGAGCTTAGGGAGCTAAAACAGCAAAAGAGGAAGGAAGGGGGTTGGGAGGTATTTAACTAAAAATCATTAGGTGATTTTATACTTTGTTCTGTCCACTGTGCGAGCGTGCGTGCCTGTGTGTGAGCCTGCTTGTGTGTGTGCACATGTGCTGCACATGTGCTGCGCACGTGTGTGTGTGTGTGTGTCAAAGTGCTAGAAGGCTGGGAAGGGAGATGGTTTTTGGGTGCTGGGTTTCCCCAAGATTTAGCACTCTTATGACATGGAGTCTCAACTTTTTTGTTTTCCAAGGTTTCTCTGTGTAGCCCTGGCTGTCCTGGAACTCACTCTGTAGACCAGGCTGTGCTCAAACTTAGAGATCCGGGATTAAAGGCGTGCGCCACTACTGTTCTGGATTCCACTTGTTTTTCTCTCACAGAGTCTCACTCTAATTCAGCCTGTCCTTTAACTCACCACGTTGCCCAGGCTAGCTTTAAACCAATGAATGATTCTCCTGCCTCAGCTTCCCTAGTGTTGGGATTAAGGGTGCATGAATGCATTTTCTCCCTCTCTCTCCCTCTCTCTTTCCATCCATCCCTTCCTCCTTTCTCCCTCCCCCCCTCCACTCCTTCCATCCACTCCCCCCCACCTTCCTATGCTCCCTTTTTGTTTGGTTTTATTATAAAAAAAAAAGTTCATGGAGCCCTCGCTGGCCTCAAACTCACTATGTAACTCAGGCTAACATCAAAATTCCAATCCTCCTGCCTCTGCCTCCTGAGTGCATGACCACCCTTACTTAGCCTTCAACTTAACCTTTTAGTCTTAGGCTAGACCTCTCTTCTCTGAACTCCAGCCTGCAAAATTTCACTGCTTACTGGGAGCTCTCACATTGGGTGTTTAAAGAGTGCTCTAGAAATGGCATGGCTTAGACAGGCGTTGGCGTCACACACCTTTAGTCCCAGCACTCGGGAGGCAGAGGCAGGCGGATCTCTGTGAGTTCAAGACCAGCCTGGTCTACAAGAGCTAGATCCAGGACAGACTCCAAAGCCACAGAGAAACCCTGTCTCCAAAAACAAAAAAACAAAACAAGCAAACAAAAAAGAAATGGCATGGCTACCGTGGTTGAAGAATTTGGTGACGAATAAAAATTTTAAACAGACAGATCTGGTGGCCGTCCAGTCTGCTTGGGATGCTGAGGCAGGAAGCTTGTGAGTTCAAAACCCGCCCAGGTAAATAGTGAACTCAAGGCTGACCCATCCAGGTTAGCAAGAGTCTGACTCAAAAAGAGAGCTGGGCCTGTGGCTCGGTCTGTGGTAGAGCAAGGACATAGCATGCTGGAGGCTGAGGGTTTCACCCCACATGCCACACCCAAATAAATCGTAAGTTACCATAGGAACCAGCAGGTCCACTTCCTCTGTGTTTACCCCCTAAGAACTAAATGCATACGAGCCTACAAAAGGCACGCATCAAAGTCCATAGTATAGGATGCAGGCATTATGCTGGCCTGCCCCTGTCGCTTGGCAGAACGGACTCAGGCGGTACCCTCGTCAGCCCAGGTGCAAAGGACCCCTTTAAAAGAAAGACCCCCGTCCACTTACGCTATCTTTCCCGCTGTTCTCCCGGGGCAGACAGGACTTTCCCTGTCTCCCTCTTCTGTCCTCTCTCTGTCTGCCTCTGCCTGGCATGTTTGTCCCTGTCTTGGTCAACCTCACCTGCCATGGAATCCACACAAGGTCCCCTACTTAGGGTTCCCCACGCGCTTTATCAGAACACACAGTACCGCTATGCAAATTAGACAGAAAGCGGAATTGACTCAGGGAAACAGATGACTGGATGAACAAATGTGGTACATCCATACAGTATACTATTACTCAGCCTTTTAGAGGAGTCACCCTGGTAACTACGAATGCTTCGGCATAGATGAATCTTGAGGACGTTGTGCTAAGCGAAAGTAGCCAGACACAAAACATTACACAGTGTATGTGCTCACTTGTATGAAACGCTCACAACAGTCAAACCCGTGCAGATAGAAATCCTGTTTATTACTTATATCCTGTAGCTGAGAGGAAGGGCATGGGAGGGGGGACTTCGTGCCTAGAGGGTTTCCTTTTGGAGAGATGAGGATGTTCTGGAACTGGAGCAGGCAAGATGGCGGGGTGGGTAAACCTGACAGCCTTGATTGGGTCCTCTGGGTTCCAGATAGGTAGAAGGTGAAAAACGGACACCCCAAATCTGTTCTCTGGCTTCTGTATGTGAACCACGGTGCTTGTGCTTGTGCACACACGCATGCGCGCGCGCGCACACACACACACACACACACACACACACACGCACTCTGTATTAAGATAAAAGAGAATGTTCTGGAATTAAATAGCAGAGATCATCACATGACGGAGGGAATGTTCCAGACATGACTGAGCTGTACATTTTACAGGGGCTAAATGTAAATTTTATGTGTTTTCTGATTTTAATTAATTAATTAAACTCTTTTGCCTAGTCTGATCAGTTTCCCTTCCGTCTCTCCTCTCCTCTCCGTCCCTCCCACAATCCTCCTGTGTTTCTTCCCTCACCCACTCCTCCATTGTTTCTTCTCAGAAAATGGAGGGCCTCCCATGGATATCAGTCAGCCAGTGGAATGTCAAGTTGCTGTGAGACTAGGCACCGCCTCTCCTAGTGAGGCAACCCAGTTGGAGGAAAGGGTCCCCAAAGCAGGGAACACAGTCAGAGACAGCCCCTGCTCTCACTGCTAGGAGCCCCACAAGGGGACCACGTTACACAACTGTAACATATGTACAGAGGGCCTAGGTCAGTCCCACCTAAACTCTCGGGACAGCGGTTCAGTCTCTGTGAGCCCCAGTGAGCCCAGGTTGGTTGATTCTGTGGGTTTTCTTGTGGTGTCCTTGACCCCCTCTGGCTCCCATAATCCCCCCACCCCCACCTGACACCTCCACTGGATTCCAGAAGGTCTGCCTGGTGTTTGGCTGTGGGGATCTACATCTGTTCCCATCATTTTTTTTCTTAGCATTTTTGTGTTTTGTTTTGCTTTTTTGAGACAGTGTCTCACTATCGATACCCTTGGCTGGCTTGGAACTTAATATGTAGATCAGGTTGGTTTGGATTCGTGGAGATCTCCACCTGCCTCTGCCTTCAAGCGCTGGTATTAAAGGCGTGCACCACCACATCCAACCACATCTTACCATAATAATTCTTTTAAAAATGGAGGCAGGCAATGGTGGGTCCTGCTTCTGATCCCAGCGCTTGTGAGGTAGGGGCAGGGGGCGGGTCACGGTTCAAAGTCATCCTTAGCTACATATCCAAGTTCAAGAACTGTGACTACAGCAGACCCTGTCTTTAAAAATAAACAAAGGCTGAGTGGTGGTGGCGCACACCTTTAATCCCAGCACTTGGGAGGCAGAGGCAGGCGGATCTCTGTGAGTTCGAGGCCAGCCTGGTTTACAGAATGAGTTCCAGGATAGCCAGACCAGTTATACAGAGAAACCTTGTCTTGAAAAACCGAAATCCAAAACCAAACCAATCAACCAAACAAGGAAAAATGGGCAGATGCCATCAACAGCTTCCTTGTTCAGACCAAGTCTTGCTTCTTCTCTCCCTCTACCTGAAGACCCCACCCTTTCCTTTTCCCCTAGGCCAGGGTTCTCAGCCTTCCTAGAGCCACGACCCCTTTAGTACAGTTCCTCATGTTGTGGTGACCCCAACCACACAATTATTTCCATGGCTACTCCATGGCTGTAATTCTGCTACTGTTATGAATTGTACGCAAGTACCCGTGTTCTCCAATGCTCTTAGGCGACCCTTGCGAACCCAAAGTGGTTGAGACCCACCGGTTGAGAACCATTTCTCTAGGCCATTCTAGGGTCGGGCTCAAGAAGCCTCTGCTTCCTCAGCACTGGCTGCTGCCTTGCCTGGCAGATCTCAGCTTGGCAGCCGCCCTGCCCTCAGCACCTACCATATCAGCAGCCCCAGACCCCCCCCCCCCCGCTGGTGTTCCCTGTCCTGCTGGCTGTCTTGTAGTGGGAATTCATTTTCACCAATAGTTTCGGGGTCTATGGGTGTGGCTTCGGTGTGTGGACATGATCCCTTATAAGGAAGGGGGGGGTCGCTCTCTATCTTGCTTGGGGTGTTGGGCTGAGACCTGATCATCATCATCCCGGATTGCAGTATCCTGCACCTCCAAAGCAGAAGACCGAGCAGGTGCTTTTCCTTCAGTGTGTGGGTGCTCTCTAAATAAATATTTGCTATTGTCTTACTCGGACATTCGTGGACGTCCTTAGTCCGCCCTCACTGTCTTTCAGAACTCTCGTGCATTTATCACAGGATGCACATGGCACCTTTCACGCCTGGACTAGAAGGTCCACGGAGGCAGATGATTTGAGCTACATCCTCACTGTCTCTCTGCAGCACTCAGAATCAGTGTCTGATGCAGGTGGATGCCTGGGAGCACACTGACATCTCGGGACATGTTGAAGCGGGTATGAGAAGCGGGTGTCCATATCCCTTCCACCCCACCTGCCACCACCCAGAGGTCCCATGGGTTGGCTAACTCCCACTGTGTCCGAATTTGGGGCTAGGCTGTGAACCTGGGTCTCCAGGTCCTAGTCTAGATGGCTTTACCCCAACTTAGAGAAGGGAGGGCAGGCGCCTAGAGAGTAGCAGCCGCAACCATATAGGTTCCTTCGTTCCTTGGGTACTGACGTGTACAGTGGCAATCTGGCTGGAAGGATGAAAGCCATCTGGGCTGATGGGGCGGAAGGCAGCTGTCTGCCTTGCTCAGAGGCTGTGAGTTGACGGAGGACAAGCATCTGCAGATGCAGCAGCCAGTGCAGACACCGGAGACAAGGGGAATGGTTCTCGGCTGCCCTCACACAACACTGCTCAGGCTCAGCACAGAACTGATGACCACAGGATACCTGAGCGCTGCTCCAAGAGCAAGGACACTCGGTGTCATCCTTCCAGAGCATGTGTGGGAGTGTGTGTGTGCACGCGCGCGCACACACACACACACACACACACACACACACATCCCTCTACATGGACATACAAACACTTGCGCACACTTTGGCCAGTGCCGAAGACTCAGATGCCAAGGCATACTAGAGACAGTACGACCCAAGATCAGCTCCCTGTACTGGGGCGGGCGGGCAGGCGGGCGGGCGGGCGAGCGGGCGGGCGGGCGGGCAGGCAGACGTCCACACTCATCCTAGCTCCTTCATGAAGCTTTATAGGTGCAAGCACACTCTGGCCCAGCTGTGCAGAATCTGCAACTGGCTTGTGAGAACTCCTGCGGCGCCTCCATCCCCGCCCCATGCCCTGCTCCGCCCCCAGCCCTAGACCGCCCCCAACCTCTAGCTCTCACTCACAAGTCAACGTCCTCCTCCACAGCCAGAGGGGATGGGTCGGAAGGGAGGCCCGGAACCCCCGCTCTTTCTGCTGGTGCACCTTGCGGTGGCTCTCAAATCCAGTGTAGGACTTGAGAGACACACAAATGGAGAAAGGGAGCCAGGCCGGGGAGAGGAAGCCCCCAACAAGTCCTATCCCATCCCTGCCAGCTGGGGGTGGAGAATCTTGACTAGGATGGCCGAAGTGGGCTGGGCTGGGCGGGTCAGCGTGCCTCCTGAGGGTCCCTGCAGAGACAGCAGCAGGTGGGGGTGGTGGGGGAGGTTGGTGAGGGCGCCTGAGAGGCGAGAGAGGGACAGAGGAAGAGAACCCAGAGAGAGGGGGGAACGCAGAAGCGCAGAGGAGGACCTACAGAGACAGCCAGCCAGGAGAGAGACAGAACCCCGCCGGAGGTGGTACCGGAAGGGTGGACAGTGATGGGAAGTAGACGGAGAAAGAGAGAGTGTGGGAGACTCAGAGAGGGAGGCTAAGAGGCCCTCAGCAGGGCGGGGTGGGGGCGGGGTAAGAGAGAGTGCGAGAAGTGAGACTCAGAGATGGGGAGGGCACACGCAGTGAGGACCAGAACCTCTCAAATGGCCTGAGTAGGGTCCGCAGGTGGCAGCTGCGGAGGTGTTAGGGAGAAGGCGGATCAGGCCCCGGGTTAGACAGCCGGCGGAGCGGCTTCCTAGGAATCTCAGGGATTCGAAAGTCAGTTTAGGGTAGGAATTTGAAAAGCAGGCGAGACCTGTAGAAGCAGCAGAGGGAGGGAAGAGAAGCGGGTCCTGGCTACCTGGAAAGATCCCCCAAATTTTTGCCAGAGGATAAAGCGGATGCTTCCCCCCAGCATCGCAGGCGGCGTTACTCAGTCTGGGATGTCTGGGGTCCCTGCCTAGGGACTCTGTCCCTTCAGGACCCCTGCCTCCATGCAGCGGGCTGTTTTCTCTCTCTCTCTAACCCGACTCTGCCGTCGGGTCCCTGCCCCTGTCCCTCTGCGTCTCTGCGTCTGCCTGGGGCTCTGTCCCGCATCTCTGTCTGGGGCCTCGGTCCCCAGCCTCCCCCGCCTGGCTCTGTATCTTCTCTGTAGTCTCCACACCCAGTTCCTCTGTCGGGGGCTCTCGGTCTCCGCACGTCCTCCCGGGGCTTCTGTCTCTTCTAAGTGTCTGATCCTCGCTACGGCATTGTCCCCCCCACCCCGACCTTTGAGCCCCTCACTCTTAAGCGGGGTGGGTGGGGGGCGCTGCGGAGGGAGCTGTGTGTTCCCGGCGCAAAATAGACTCCCGTTGCCATGGCGACGCGAGCGCGGCCTCGAGACGCAGGCTTCGGGCTGGGTGTGCGGAGGGGACACCTGGATCCGGAAGGCGGGGGCCGGGGCTCCGACGCCTGTGTCCCAAAGGGCTCCGGAGGATGACTGGGACTCCGAGGTCCCCGGGGAGGGTATGCTGGGCTGGGTGACTGGTGCCAGGCCTTTTGGGAGGGGGCTGGGCTGCCAGGATCCGCGGTGGTGGTGGGGTGAGTCTGATTGTCAATGGGATCCGACTGGTCCGTGCATCCCTGGTGGACACAGGATGCCGCTGAGGGCTCCCAAGGCTGGAGAAGGAGTCTGCGAATCTTGAGTGAGGGTTTGACGCGGTGGAGGTTGAAGCGGGGAGGGGGGGGCGTCTGCAGAGTTTCAACACTCGTCTGATCTCTTAGGGGCTGCAGAATCCTGCGTCTCGGGCGAGTACGAACCACTGAGCAGCAACTGTCCATGCCATCTATCCATCCATTCATACACTCGTCCTTGCCTCCCTATGCCCCCCCATCTCCCCCGTGCCTCAGTTTCCCCCTCCTCACCAGGTACGGATGCGCTCACCTCACTTTCTGGATGCGGGACCCTCGGGGAGTCGGGGGTGGCAGCGTGGGGGCCAGCCAAGGGAGGCAGCGCGAGCGCGTGTCTGCCAGCCAGCGGGGCTGGGCGCGCGCGCGCGCGCCGATGGGGGTGGGGGCGGCAGGCAGCGTGGCGGGGACCCTGGCCGGCGGCAGCTCTTTCTCGTGCAGATGCGCACCGGCCCCAGTGCAGATGTGGCCGCCGCCAGCCCTCGCCTGCGTCTCGGCGCCGGCTTGGAGCTCAGAAGAGGCGCCTCCCCCACCCGACTTGCAGGAGACCCCGCTTTCTCCCTCCCACAAGACCCCTGTAGCCCCTGTGATGCCTCCCGAACCCAACAATGGTTCGGTCCTCAGCCACATCAATGTTTATTCTCTGAGACCGGGTCCCAGTTGTGACATTCCTTCCCCCTCCTTTTCCCGCTCCATGAAGTGGCCCGGGGCCCAGCCACGCCCCCACCTTTCCCTCAGCCAATTCCCACCCGGCATCGGGAGTCTCATTTGCATTTCCGGGACCAGATGCCCAATAGGAAGACAGAACCACGCCTCCTCTCCCACGGGGGCGGTCCTCCTGGCGGACTGCACCACTCTTGGGATCCATGGATGAAGGAAAAGGCATCCATCAACGCCTGGGTGACAAGGAGGGTGGATGGGTCCATCCTTCAAGTCAGGGCCTGGAGTCCAGCAACAGGGGGTTGTTCTTGCCTTGGAAGAAGCTTAGCAGCCCGATGTCTGGGACTGGCTCCTTAATGATCTTCTGGATCTACAGGCAGAGGAGGTTAAGAAGTCAAGAACCATCCACCCGCCCCCATCTCCATGATGCCGAATCTGGGGAGCAACTCTTCATCTCCCTTATTATTCTGTCAGCATCACTTCTCCAGTCAACCACTTAAGAGTTCCCTTGGTGGCCTCTTCCTCGCACTTGCCTGGTTGAGCTACACCCCAACCCCACGTTGGCCTGCTCCGCTGCCTTGGACAACGGAGCGTGGATGTGTCGACTTTGAGGTCTTTTGCCAACATATCCCTCTTCTTCACTATTCTCATCGTCCCCGTCATTCCTTTAAGCCCTCAGCTCCCACACAGGCCCAGACTCTCAACTTATCCACACAAGTCCCTCTGGGTTGAGCAGGAGCAACCAGCCGCACTATCGTCAATCAGCAAGTTCAGCCAAGTTTATCTCCAGGAAACTAAACCCAGAAAACCGCAAATCCTGCATGTCCACCGCCTCTTCCTACTTAAGTCCCACTACTGATTGGAGCATGGGTGAAGGTTGGCCTCTCTTCTGTTCCAGGACACGCAGATATTTACATACAATCCGATGGTGGCCAACTCCCATTCTTCTTTTAAATGAAGCATAGTTGAAGTTTATTAAGATATCTTAAAGTAGATTTTTAGGAGCAAAGAGAGGTGTTTGTTCTCTTGCCTGCAGCCCCAGGAGCCTCTGGGGTCTTCTGTAAGGAAGAAGATAAACCCCAAAGCACGCATGGAGGCTTCCCTAAGAGGGAGCTGACTCCTATTCTATGCACTCTTGGGCTCTACGGATTAGGGAAACACTCCCCATGTGGGCTTTCTTCATTTCTTGCTGATAGTGGTGTTGCTGGAATAGAATCTAGAGCCTTGTGGATGTTAGACAGCTACTCTATAGCAACAACATCCACAGACCGCCCTTAGGCGCCACAGTGCCTGGGCCTCTGCTAAACCCGGAAATGTTCCTAAGACATGGCTCCTGTCTCCCTCTCCTTGATGGGGATGTCCTTCTGTAAACTGGTAATATATGTTTCTTTTATTGGTTGATGAATAAAACCCTGATAGACCAGTAGCCAGGCAGGAAGTATAGGCGGGGCTACCAGACGAGGAGAATTCTGGGGAGAGAACACAGAGGGTTAGCCACCACAGAGACGCCATGTAGGAAGATAGGACATCAGGGGCATTTTCCAGTAAGTCAAGACCATGTGGAGATAATAGAAATGGGTTAATAATTGAGAGAGAGTGTTGGGGAAGTCCTGTGTATATGTCAATAAATTACTGCTGGCCAATAGGAATCTAGATAGGTGGGGCTAGGAGTCCAGGAGGATTCTGGGAAGGAGAAACACAAGAGAGTCAACATGTAACGCCATGGGGGTAGGAAGCCCGGAACCATTCTCCGGTAAGAAACATACTTAGATTAACAATTATGGGGTAATTACTTAAGTCAGAGCTAGCCAGTAAGAAACAAGCAAGGCCAACAGCTTCATAATTAATACATCGTCCTGTGTGTTTATTTCGGGACTACAAAGCAGCAGAGGCCAGGCGGCTGGCGGGGGATAAACCAAAGCGGCTAGCAAAGAAAAAGCTTCTCTTAACAAGAGAGCTAGCATGGGGCCTCTGGCAGTGGAACCACTATTTATCCCTAGTGCACAAATGGACTTTGGGAGACCATTCCCCATGGAGGGATACTTTCTCAGCCCAGATACACAGGGGAGGGCCTAGGCCCTGCCCCAAATGACGTGACAGAATTTGATGATCCCCCATGGAAGGCCTCACCCTGTCTGGGGAGTGGATGGAGGGTGGGATGGTGGGGGGGCGGGGGGGGCATGGGAGGATGGGATGGAGAAGGAACTGGGAATGACATGTAAAATATGATTGTTTCTAATTTAAATTTTAAAATATATGTATACATACATACATATAGTGAGAGAGCTAGCCAGTAAGAAGCCTGAGCCATCGGCTAAACAGTTTATAACTAATAAAAGCCTCTGTGTGTTTATTTGGGACTAAACGGCTTCGGGACCAGGCAGAACAAGAAACTTTTTTTTTGTTGTTGTTTTTTTTTTCGAGACAGGGTTTCTCTGTAGCTTTGGAGGCTGTCCTGGAACTCACTTGGTAGTCCAGGCTGGTCTCGAACTCACAGAGATCCGCCTGCCTCTGCCTCCCGAGTGCTGGGATTAAAGGCGTGCGACAACAACGCCCGGCTCAGAACAAGAAACTTTTGCCATCATCTCCTCCCCAACCTGCCAGCATTGGCCACACTCAGCTACACACACAGTCCTTGGACTAAGACAAACCCAACCCCAGCTCTTGGCCTTAGCTCCAGCTATCTCCCGGTCTCATATTCAAGGTTACCAGCTGCCATTTTTCTCACCACTGTTTACAGTCTCATTCCAGGTTATATTGTTAATAAACATGGGCTAATGGTTGGTTTGTGTGTGTGTGTGTGTGTGTGTGTGTGTGTGTGTGTGTGTGTGTGTGTGTGTGGGTGGGGAGTGTCCATCACAGCACCGTTCAAACTGACCATGTAGCCAAGGATGACTCTCCTGCCTGCACCTCACCAGGACTACAACAGGGTGCGGTAGCACCCATCTCTAACTCCAGACCTTGGGAGAGAGAGGCAGGCAGATCCCCATGAGGATAGCCTGACCTCCATACTAAGTCCCAAGGCCAGCCAGGGCTACACAGAAGCCAAAGAAATGCACCCTGACCTTGAAACTAGCGCCAAAAGAAACACACTTTGTCCCTGGAATCAGAGCCAGTGAAAGAAATAAGCCCTGATCTTAAAATTAGAGTCAAACGGCTAAAAAGGACCAGAGAAAGAAACACACTTTGGCCCTGAAATCAGAGCCAAATCTGATCCTGAACCTGAGCAGAAAACCAACCAATCCCTGAGCATGAGATCTAGCCAATGTGAACTGAAATCTGACCAATCCCCACCCTGGAAATCTCCCTGGAAAAACTCCACCCCTAAGAAACCTTATATAGGCCGGGCGTTGGTGGCGCACGCCTTTAATCCCAGCACTCGGGAGGCAGAGGCAGGCGGATCTCTGTGAGTTCAAGACCAGCCTGGACTACCAAGCGAGTTCCAGGACAGCCTCCAAAGCCACAGAAAAACCCTGTCTCGAAAAAAACCAAAAAAAAACCCAAAAACAAAAAACAAGAAACCTTACATAAACCCTGTGCTGTTCAGCTGTGGCTGTCTGTCTACCCTGCTGCCCAGCTGTACTCTGACGCCACTCTCCCGGATTCTTCCCTTCCAATGAATCTTAGAAGTGAAGTAACAGGAAGAGTGATGGTATCACAGACCTGCACACCACACCCAGTTTCTGTAGTTCTGGGTGATCAAACCCAGGGTTTCCTGAATGCTAGCCAAGCCCTCTACTGAGATACATCTCAAGTCCTGGGCTGGATGTGTGTGTGTGTGTGTGTGTGTGTGTGTGTGTGTGTGTGTGTGTGTGTGTGTGTGTGTGTGTATGGGTGTGATGCATGCATGCATGTATGTGTGTGTGTGTGTGTATGTGTGTGCATGGAAGCCAGAACATGAATGAAGCCAGATCTTTTCCTTAACTGCTCTCCACCTTCCTTCTTGAGACAAGGTCTCTCACTGCAGCAGCGCCCAGCTTTTATGTGGACTCTGGGGGTCCATACTCAGGTCCTCAGGTTTATATAGCAAGTGCTTTGCCAACTGAATCACCTCCCAAACCTCTTGGATTGTTTTGTTTTTTGTTTTTGTTTTTTTAAGGCTGGACTTAAAATCCTAGAACTCAGGAGGCAGAGGCAGGTGTATTTCTGAGTTTGAGGCCAGCCTGGTTTACAGAGTGAATTCCAGGACAGCCAGGGCTACACAGAGAAGTCCTGTCTCAAAAAAAAAAACAAAAGAAAATCAGGTGGTGGCGCACGCCTTTAATCCCAGCACTAGGGAGGCAGAGGCAGGCGGATCTCTGTGAGTTCAAGGCCAGCCTGGTCTACTGAGAGAGTTCCAGGACAGGCTTCCAAAACTACACAGAGAAACCCTGTCTCGAAAAAACAAGAACAAACAACAACAACAAAAACAACCAAAACCAAAATCAAACCAAACAAAAGACAGAGGGCCAGCAAGATGCCTCAATAGGTAAGAGTGCTTGTAATTCTAGTCCAACCACCTGAATTCAATCCCCAGGGCCCATAAGGCAGGAAGAAATTGACCACACACACACTCGCTCATGAGCACATATGCACACACAACCCTGAATGGCACACACATTAACAGAAAACCAGATAGATGATAGATACAATGATAGATAGATCGATCGATCGATCGATAGATAGATAGATAGATAGATGGATGGATGGATGGATCGATCGATAGATGGATGGATGGATGGATAGATAGATGGATGGATGGATAGATAGATAGATGGATGGATGGATGGATGGATGGATGGATGGATAGATAGATAGATAGATAGATAGATAGATGGATGGATGGATGGATGGATGGATGGATGGATGGATAGATGGATGGATGGATGGATGGATGGATGGATAGATAGATAGATAGATAGATAGATGGATAGATGGATAGATAAATTAGGACTGGAGACATCGCTCAAGTCAGTAGTGTATTTCCCTTGCAGACACAAAGCTCTGGGTTCCATCACCAACAATACAAAACAAAACCAAAACCAAAAAAAAAAAAAAAAAAAAGCAGGCTCAACAATTTGGAGTAGCAGATGCTCTTCCAGAGGACTTGGATTTGATTTCCAGTACCCACATGATGGCTCACAAATGTCTATATCTCTAGTTCAGGGAACCCAGTACCCTCTTCTGGCCTCTGAGGGCACCAAGCTCCAGGCACACGGGTGATGCAGACATATATACAGGCAAAACATACAATAAAACATAATAGAAGTTAAAGACACAAAATCAACAACCCCCCAAAAAAACCAAAAACAAACAAACAAACCATAGAGGGAGGGAAATATTTCTTCCATGCCTAGGTGACAGGGGGGCCAGCAGGAAGGGGGCGTTACCTCCTTGAACTGTGGGTGTGCAGAATCCTTCACCAGCTGGAGAATCAGCACTTCGCTGGTGGACAGAAAGACTCCACTCTGCCGCATTCGATCCAGGGCCACCAGCCGGTTGGTCTCGCTGCGGAGGAGAGGGCGAGCATCTATGCTGTGCCACGTCTGTGTTGAGGGACAGTTTCCTCTCAGCGGAAACACTCCTTTCAGGTAGGAGCGGGAGGCTCTCCATGAGACTCAGGAGGTAATCAAGAGGCCATACTTTGTGGGGTGGGCTGGAGAGGTGACTCAGTGGTTAACACTCGCTGCTCTTGCAGAGGACGTGGGTTCAATTCCCAGCACCCACACAGCAGCTCATGGCCATCTGTAACTCCAGTTCCAGGGAATCTGACTCCCCCTCTTCTGGCGTCTGCAAGCACCAGGCATGCATGTGGATGTTTTGCATACATATGTGTAAGCAAAACATTCATCCATGAATAAAATGAAAATTTAAAAGGCCACATGCCCAGGAAAGCAGACACTAGGAAGATTCTCAAAGGTCCCTTCCCAGATGTATAAAAGAGGCTGAGAACTGCCAGAGGGGACTCCGACCAGCTATGGAGCAGCTGGGGAGAGGAGACTTAGCCAGAAGAGGCTCTCAGAGAGTTGAGCTGTCTGCAACCTGTGTGGAGCCTGAATCTTCAACCAGTGTTGGATTGGACTTCAGTGGAGCGGCTGCTTTTGAGTCCACTCCTCACCCACACTCCTGCTAGTAACCCCAATAAAACCTCATTGGTTCAGGGCTGGAGAGACGGCTCAGCGGTTAAGAGCACTGTCTGCTCTTGCAGAGGACCCGAGTTCAATTCCCAGCACCCACAAGGCAGCTCACAACTGTCTATTACTCCAGTTCCAGCAGACCTGACACCCTCATACTAATGCACATAAAATAAAATTAAATAAATTATTTAAAAAGCAAGAAACTCGCCGGGTGGTGGTGGCGCATGCCTTTAATCCCAGCACTCGGGAGGCAGAGGCAGGCGGATCTCTGTGAGTTTGAGACCAGTGTGGTCTATAAGAGCAAATACCAGGGCAGCCTCCAAAGCCACAGAGAAACCCTGTCTCGAAAAACCAAAACCAAACAAACAAAAAAACCCAAGAAACTCATTGGTTCAACTGTTGACATTGGTTTTGGTACAGAGGTTACCTCAGTTCCTTTTCTGGGGATGAGCAGATATGAGTGCTGAAATTCTCAGGAAACATTTGCCATGCAACAGTATGACCCATGGTCAGTGTCCCAGATGTCCCCAACATACACCAACACAGGGTGACCCTCTCACCTTCTAGAAGAACAGGCATCCACCGCCACATGGACCTGAAGCCCTCGGTCCAGGAGGTCCAGGGCTGTGTGCTGAGGGGCAGAGAGAGGTCCAGGTGAGACTCAGAGATTCAGTGAGGGTCTGACCACCCTAGACCAGAAGCAAACACTGAAATGGCAGATGAGAGAGGCTCACGTCAAAGCCAGGGCCCCGCGACAGGGGAAAGGACACGGGAGGGCTAGCAGGAAGATTAGGGACCCCTGAGGACAAGGGGTCTCACCAAGATGCAGCCTTGGGTCTCGATGCCGCAGAGGAGCACGGAGCGCAGCTGGGGCCGCCGGTCCAGCTCCTGCTGCAGCGGGGGCACCATGCTGAAGCATGTCTTACTCACGGCTTGTAGGCCCTGAGCGCCCAGCTCGGGAACTGTGGGGCCCAGGCCTTGTGGGTACTGCTCCGTCAGCAAGACAGGGACATCCAACAGCCGGGCCACCTGTGTGGGAGGGAAACCACTGTCCTGGGACCCAAATAGGAGGGCTGAGGACAAGGTTCTTGGGTCTGAGGGATGAGGGTTTCGGGCTACACTCCTGGGTCTTGGGAAGGTAGAGTGGGCGTGTACCTTTAGCATCCGAGCGGCCATTGACACGATCTGTGGGAAGTAGAGGACTTTGTCTCGAAGTTTCTCCTGCATGTCGCAGAGAAACAGGATGGAGGACTCTGGAAGGATCCGGCCCAGGCTAGCCCTGGCTGCTGCCATTGCCTGGGTGTGGACAGAGGGACATGCAGGCAAAACATGTAGGTAGAACACTGTATATATTATAAATAAAATCTTTTTTAAAAAAAGATTTATTCATGTATTTTATGTATATGAGTGCTCTGTTTGCATGCATGCCTGCAGGCCAGCAGAGGGCACCAGATCTCATTACGGATGGTTGTGAGCCACCATGTGGTTGCTGGGAATTGAACTCAGGACCTCTGGAAGAGCAGCCAGTGCTCTTAACTATTGAGCCATCTCTCCGGCCTGCCCCCTTCATTTTTTAAGACTCATTTCTTTTTACTTTATGAGTAAGCGCATATGTCTATGGGCCATATGGATGCAGTAGCCACAGAGGCAGGAACAGGCTGTCAAATTGCCTGGAGCAGGAGTTACCCACCATGTGAATGCTGGATTCGGCTTCCCTATTTAAAAAAAAAAAAAGGAAATAAAGTGCTGTAAAATTAGAATAATGGTGTGAGGCACGCTTGTAATCCCAGCACTTGGGCGGCCTAGTTGGGTGGCTGTGCCAAGAGTTGCAGGTCAGCCAGGGCTGTATGGTGAGTGACCTTGCCCCCAAAAAGCTAAGTAATAAGAACTTTAAGATTGCATAATGTGGGGACACCAGACCGTGAGCAGAAACCCTCTTCCCCTTCAGCCTGGGAGCAGGCAGTTGTGAGATAATGTTTACTGAAAACAAATAAAGCTCTTGGTAGGGCTCCTGATAAGGGCTCGCTCACTGAAACACCATGACTTTGATCCCCCCTAAGGCTAAATGCTTCTTCCTGTTCCCCCTGCTGGGTCTCCCCGATTCTGGGGCCGGAGATTAAACCACCAGCCAGGAGGGTGAGAAGTCTGTGAGAGCTGTGAGAGGTGTGTGAGAGCTCGGTTGGAGAATTGTGTGTGGATGGATGGCAGAAGTCTTTAAAAAGGGAAGCGTTTTTTTCTTGGGGAGTTCTCCTAAGCCGACTTGGGGAGCATAAAGTTTTCTTAAAGCAACCGACCGGTCTCTGTGTCATCTATCCCAACCACCTCACTACATTCTCGGATGCAGGCTGCTCAGCAGGTGCGACAGCATAATGCGCAACAGGTTGTCCAGTGAAGAATGAACACAAATTCTGCAATAAAGTCAACAGCAAGCAGAAACACCCTGTGGGGATGAGGTCCAAAAGTAGCAGCCACTTCCCTCCGGCCCTGCGCCTTCTCAGTCCTGAGAACTGAGATGCAAGCCACGCCCACAGGGCCACACACCTGGAGATTCAGAGCCCTGGGCAGTAGCCCAGTCAAGCCCCACCCTAAGGCCCCTGCATCCCTTTTCCCAGAGGGCCAGTGGGTGTCCTGGTCTGTGCTCGTGCGCGAGAGTGTAGAAAAAGCACACGTGCAGATCAGAGCACAACCTCAGGTGGCGGCTGCCACATTCCACCCTGAGATAAAGTCTCTCGTCTGTCTGCTGCAGCGCCAGCCAAGCGAGCTGCTGGGGAAACTTCCGGGGAGTCTCCGATCTCCATCTCCAATTATGAGCGGCGTAATTGCAGTTATACGCCTCTGGGCCTGGCTTTACTTGGGTACCGAGGACCCTGAACTCCTCCCGCTCCAGTGGCAAGTGCTTTACCCACTGGGCCATCCACCCAGCCCCTGGAGGACCCCTTCACACTCCCACAGCTGTGTCCTGGTCCTGAGCAAAAGGGACACACCGGCAGCAAGAGATATTTCCAGAGCGACGGATGAGCTGAAGGGTCACATGGAACACCCCAAAGACCGGGCGATCAGCTGAAGGCGGCGAGGAGCCGCAGAGGGTCAACACTCGAGGCTCAGAATGTTGCACAGCCTGAGGTGTCAGTCCCTGACTTGCCTTGGCACTGGAAAGAGTATGGACACCGCCCTCAAAATGACAGGGACACAAATCTTCTGATCCAGAAATCTGTCCCTAAGTATTTATCTGACAGAGACCAGTTTATTAACCACAGGTCTCTGCCAGGGCTCCCATGACAAAGAGTCAAGCATACAATACAGATACGCCCAGACTACAGACACCTGGTGACCCACGGTGCCTTACGCAAACCTTTAGAGATGCCTAGTGACCCGTGGTATTTTACCATTCGCATCTACGTGGCTGTACAGCAGATAGCTTCGCATGTATTCAAGGCTGGCCTCGGGCTCATGTCAACCCTCCTGTGTTCGCTGTTTAAAGGCTGGGGTTACAGGCGGGGAGTCACGCGCTGTGATAATACTTTCCCTTTTTGTTTTCCACTACGGGATTAAGGACGACCCTGGACTTCAGATCCTCCAGCCTCTACCCCCTGAGTGTTAGAATTATAAGCCTGCAGCACCACACACAGTTTCCACATTCAGTGCTAGGGATCCTGGGATTTGCAATTCTCCTGCTGAGCCTTCCAGAGTAGCTGGGATTACACACAAACACACCAAGGAAAAGCGGCGCTCAGGAGACGTGAAAGGGGAAAGCTTGGTGTAGAATATACTCCTACCTGTGACAAGCACCCCCACCCCCCACCCCCCCACCCCCCCCACCCCCGCCAAACTGGCAAATGTAGGTTTCTATTTGTCTTAAAAATTTCCATTTATGGGCATTGGTGGTGCACACCTTTAATCCCAGCACTCGGGAGGCAGAGGCAGGCGGATCTCTTGAGTCCGAGGCCAGCCTGGTCTACAAAGGGAGCTCCGGGACAGGCTCCAGAGCTAGAGAAACCCTGTCTGGAAAAACAAAAAGCAAAACAACAACAACAAAAAACCCCACCTCTTCCAGAGGTCCTGAGTTCGATTCCCAGCAACCACATGGTGGCTCACAACCATCTACAATTCAATTTGGTGCCCTCTTCTGGCATGTAGGAAGAACAGTGTATATGTAATAAATAAATAAATCTTAAAAATAAATAAATATGTAATAAATAAATATATTTTAAAATGTCCACTCATTTATTTACTTTGTGTATGGCAAAGCATGCCCCTGTGAAGAAAATCTGACTGTGTCCTCTTTTTTAATTCATTTATTTTAGGCAGGGTGTCGTGTTGGTGCCTGAGCTGACAAGAGACCTTGCTACGTAGCCGAGCCTGGCTTCGAACACCCCACATTCCTGCCTCTACCTCCTGTGTCCTAGGGACTACAGGTGTTTAACATCGCTCCCAGTTTGACCCTCCACTTCCGGACTAGAACGTTTTTTACAACCGGGGAGTTAGTTCACTTGGGGAAAATTCACCTGACCTCTGCACTAGTGCCTGCGCCACTCATGTTTGTAAAAGGGGAGAGGGGCTGGGGCTTGCAGTTCAGTGACAGCGAGCCCTTGCCTGGCATTCCTGATGCCCAGGCTCAGTCCTGCCGGATTTGATGGAGATGGACTGGGACAAATTTGGAAGGAGTCCGGGGGGCGCCTTCCGCTTCCTCCCGGCTTAGCCCACCGGCAGGGCCGAAGCAAAAGTTGGCTCTGGAGAGGGTGGGACCCCGAGGATCTCCCCTGATGCCAGCTGGAATGCCACCCCCAACCCCGGCCCGACGCCCCGCAAGGCTTCCGCTTCCCGGTGTGAGCGGTGGGTTTACCAGCAGCGCGCGCGCTCGGCGAACCGGACTTACCCGGAAAGTCCCAGGTTCGAGTCCGGTCCCCTTTCCAACAAGCCCTGTGACTTTTCTCCTCTGGATTCCCACGGACTCCGGACCGGGTCTCCTTTTTGCCCTGTGTGGACACGAGGGCCGAGCCTTGGTGTCCTGCCCTCCGGGGCCGAGCCACCCAATCGGTGCTCGCCTCACTCTGTCCCACTCCTCCGGCCAAGGCAGAGACGCCTCTGCTACGCTCTCACTTCTCTTAACCTGATTGGTCCGTGGAAGCCCGAGAAGGCGGAGATACAGTGATGCTGGCCAATGGGAATCCGTGGAGGGCGGGCTCTGGCTGAGAGCTCAGCCTCTAACCCGGAATGTGAGTGGATGCTGCCCGGAGCCGCAGCTTTGCTCTGCCTGGGCTAGAGGGAAGAGCCCGAGGACCACCCGCTGACTCCAGCGGAGATGCTCTCCTGCAAACCTAGCCGTAGGCAGGCTGAAGCCGCAGGATTGCCAGTTCAAGACCAGCCGGGACTACTCAGTGAGAGCCTGTCAACAAAACAGCATGCCTACTAAGAGACCCTAGGACATTTTGCCCTCTGCTAGAGGGTTTGTTTTCTCCCTCTCCAAGTATTCAGGATCGTGGTTCACCCCCTAGCTGGAGGATTGTCTTGAGTTCAAGGAATAAGTTTTTTTTAAAAAAAAGGGAATACGATACTTATTTTCATGGTCTCAAGTACTCAGAAGCGAAGGCAGGAGGACTTCTTTGATTTCTGGATATGAGAAAAAGGCTAGGCATGGTGGTAACTGTAAACCCAGCACTTGGAAACTGAGGTAGGGGGATCCTTTTGGGGGAAGAACTTGAGGTCTGCCAGAGCTATAGCTACCTAGAGTCCCAGGTTAGCCGAGGCTACAGCGTGTGACCCTGTCCCACAAACAGAAAAAACAAGGCTGGAAATGCAGTTCGGGCGGCAAAGTGTTTGCCTGGCATGTGTGACACCTTGGCTTCAGTATCCAGCACCTTATAAATACCAGGGGAGTGGAATGGGACTGTAATTCCAGAACCCAGGAAGTTGGTCACCCCAATAGAGTGCACTCACATGCATCCAGAGACACTGTCTGAAACAAAACACACAAAACAAAATGCCAGCAAACCAAACAGCCAACTAACCAACCAAAACAAGACAAAATAACAATAAAAACCACAATCTGAGGGGGTGGCACACGCCTTTAATCCCAGCACTGGGGAGGCAGAAGCAGGAGGATCCCTGTGAGTTCCAGGCCAGCCTGGTCTACAGAGCGAGTTCCAGGACAGCCAGGACGGTTTCACAGAGAAACCCTGTTTCAAAAAAACAAACACAAAACACAACAACAAAAAACCCCAACAAACAAAAACACAACCCAGATTCTTCCCATCTTATCTGGTCTGCGCCCAGGCACACTGGCCTCCCAGGGTTCCAATCCAGGCCCTTTAGTGTAATTGTTCCTGGCTCCTGGACTCCACACCTGCCCCATAACCTGCTTCTGCTTGGCATTCCAGGCCTTCTCTGACCATGCGATGTAGTTAGTTAGCAGCACATTTTACTTATATCACAGTGCTCATTCCGATCAGAAATCAGAATTTCATCTTGCTATCTGAAGCTCTCTTCATGTTCTTGTGCGTGTGTGTGTGTGTGTGTGTGTGTGTGCTTGTGCGCACACACCTACTCCAGCTCCTGAGCAAGTGTTCTACCGAGTTATTTCTGTAGCTCTGCCAGGGAAGGAGCCCATAGGTGGGGACTCCAGAGGGGCTGCCTGTCTTTGGCTTTTCTGGGCTCCAGTCTGTGTTATGAGTGGATTTGATGGGCTCCCCTGCTTTTCAAGGATCTCCTGAGATGCCAAGCACAAGGTGTCTTCTCGCTATCCATTTCACTCCCGGCAAGAGCTACAGGCTCAGTACTGGCATTACAGACATGCACTGCTGCACCTGGCATGAATAGCTAGTAAGGGAACTAAAGCTAGCACGGATCAATTAACTTTGTAGATGATTGTCTTTTCTTTTCTCTTCCTCCTCCTTTTTCCCCTAGACAGGGCTCATTGGGTAGCCCTGGCTGTCCTGGAACTCACTATGTAGCCTAGGCTGACAGTCTAACTCACAGAGATTCTCCTGCCTCTGCCTCTTGAGTGCTTGGATTAAAGGTGTGCTGTAAACTTTGCATGGCTTGGATGGAAAGGGATTCTGGCACTCGGGAGCCACAGGATACTAAGTGTTACAGCTCCAATGGAAAAGTATCCTGGCAATTGGGAGCCAAGGAATACCACATGTGACACACAATAAATGTAGCAGTTTACAGACCTGCTCCAGGGAAAGGCTTCCTCAGTGTAACAGTTCTGTTCTGTCAAGCAAGGGAGGGCCACCTCAGTGAAGTTGTTACAGTTGGCTTGTTCCCCTAGAGTGTAACAACTTCGCTTTTCTAGGGGAAGGTCTGCCCAGGGCAAGTGTTACAGCCCTTCTCTGTTCATTCTGCTTTGGTGGAAAGTTTTACTTCTCTCCTCTGGTCCATTCCATGGAAGGAAGATCTCACCCAACCTAATTCAGGAGATTCATTGGAAGGGAAGAATCCAGGAGAGTGGCTGTCCTCTGCCATGGTGTCAGAGTACAGCTGGGCAGCAGGGTAGACAGACAGCCGCAGCTGAACAGCTCAGAAAGGGTTCCTTAGGGGCAGAGTTTTTCCAGGGAGATTTCCAGTATGGGGATTGGTCAGATTTCAATCCCTCTCAGTTCACATTGGCTAGATCTCATGCTCAGGGATTGGTTATTTTTCTGCTCAGGGTCAGGATCAGATTTGGCTCTGACTCCAGGGACAAAGTGTGTTTCTTTTGGCGCTGGTTTTGGGGTCAGGGTGCATTTCTTTGGCTGGCATTTTCTCCCTACAATGCGCACCAACATGCATTGTCTTTTTTTTATTCTTATTAAAATTTTTTACATTTATTTTTATTTTAGGTGTTTTGCCTGTCTGGATGACTGTGTACCACAAGCATGCAGTGCTCCTGGAAGACAGAGAGGGTGTCTGATCCCCTGGAACTGGAGTTGGAGGCAGTTGTGAGAGAGCCTCCATGAGGAATTGAACCCGTGTCCTCTGGAAGAGCAGACAGTGCTGTTAACCACTGAGACATCTCTCCAGCACCAGACCCTCTTTTCTTAAATAAGTAAATAATGACATTTTTACGTGTGTGTGTGTGTGTGTGTGTGTGTGTTTGTGCACAAGCATGCTAAGTGCTCACACACATGTATGAACACCACGGTACCGACGTGGATCACAGAGGACAATGTTGGAGACTCAGTTCTCTCTTTCTACCATGCTGGTCCTGGATACCTGGCTTAGGTCCTCAGGCTTGGCGGTAAGCCCCTTTACCCAAGGAGCCACTAGCACTTTTGGGAAATTGCATATTGTTATTTAATTAGAAATTAATTCACATAGCAATATGAAAATTATGGCATTTTCATGCACACTGACGCTAGGTTGATTTCCTATTCCTCCGGTTCCTCTACTCCCAGTCTTCCTGCCACTTCCTGGCTTGTACCCTTCCGCCCACAGTCTCCCCGTTCTGTTCCACAACCCAGGTGTTCTGTTGCCCTGTCTTCCTTACAGCGGCTCCTCCTCCTGGGTTCCGTTCTGGTTTCCCGGCCTCCACCCACGCTCATTCCCACACAACACGCACAACGAGGACCGAAAGCCCGGATCCACGTCTGAGAAAGAACAAGCGGTGTTTGGTTTTCCAGAGTTCCTCTGTTTAATAACTTTCCCAGTTCCATCTCCTTTCCCGTCATCCTGAAAGAGCCGTAACTGCTCGGCTCTTAACGCTGAGTCATCTCTCTAGCTGCCCCTCCCCTCTCTGAATGAAGAATTACCTTTATTTGTGCGTCTGTGTGAGTGTATGGGCACACAAGTGTGTTCTCTGTCTCTCTCTCTCTCTCTCTCTCTCCCCCCAAAACAAGGTCTCATGTACCCTAGGCTGGCCTCAAACTCACTATGGAGCTGATGCTGTCCTTGAACTCCCTATCTTTCTGCTTCCATCTGTTGAGTGTTAGGATTATAGGTGTATGACACACTAGGCTTCCAGACTGTTTCTTCCCCCACCTGGAGATTTCCATTTGCAGGGAGCAGGGTTACAAGTTCAAGGTCAACCTGGGGTGGGGGTGGGGGACTTATTAAAAAGTAGGAGTTGAAAGCCCAGTGGTGGTGGTGGTGGTGGTGCACGCCTTTGATCCCAGCCCTCGGGAGGCAGAGGCCGGCGGATCTCTGTGAGTTCAAGGTCAACCTGGTCTACAAAGACAGCCAAGGATGTTACACTACCTCAAAAAACCATAAATAAATAAATAAGGGAGGTCAAGGGTGTAGCTTAGTGGGTAGAATGCTTGCCTAGAATGTACAAAGCCCTGTATGCTAGTTCTTAACTGTTGTGGCAATAAAGGACCACGCCTAAGACAATTTATAGAAGCAAAGGTTACTTTGGCTTCTGGGGTAATAGTCCCCCGTGACCGTGGAAGCAGCAAGCATCAGACACGGCAGAAGCTGAGTGCTTACATCGTTCACTGTAATCGGGAAGGCAGAGAGAGTGAACTAGGAATGTGAGCCTCTTTAAACCCTCAAAGCCTGCCTCTACTGATAACGCTTCCTGCAGCAAAGCCATAGCTCCCAAACGGCTCCGGTCGCTGCAGAACAAGTGTTCAAAAGTCAGTCCAACACTATGGGCGACAGCTCATTTAAACCACCACCACTGGGCTGGATTCCCCAGCACCGAATAACACCAGGATGATGGTCCACGCCTATCATCCCAGAACTCTGCAGGTGCAGGCGGGAGGACCAGGAGTTCAAAGACTTCCCTGGCTGCATAGCAACTCCAGGCCAGCCTTGTCTTTAAAGAAAGGTAGTGGGAGGTTGGGGTGGGTGGGTCAGTGGTTAGATCAAGCACTGGTTCACAGAAGACTCGATTTCAGTGCTCAGCACTCAAATGATGGCTCAGAGTCACTTGGAACTCAATTTCCAGGCATTTGGAGGCCGCATCTGGTCTTTTGTGGTCCACACAAACTAAGCTGGGCACACACATACTCACGTATAAATGTTTCACAAGGGCTGGAGAGATGGCTCAGCCGTTAAAGGCTAGGCTCACAACCAAAAATAAGTATGGTTTACAAAAAGAGGAGGAGGGGCTGTCGAGAGGACTCTGCAGGTACAGGCATTTGTAGCCAAGCC